TTTTAGTTTTTTTTTTTTTCTATTCACCCAACCCAGAAACACAACCTATTACTCAAAATAAACAAAAAAGCAAGGTTTTTAAAACCGAACCGGTCATTGAACCATAAATACCACCCAAGGTTCCCTTACCAAGGGTAATTGGAATCGATCTCAAGCTTTGCCTTCGTTCTCTTCTTAATTGGTCTGATTATTACTAACTTAAACATTGGAGTGCCTACCCCGAGAACCAATCTTGGGACTTTACAAGTTAATCCGAAGAGAAGATTTGGACAGAAGAGAGCACCTGAGTTCGTTGCAATTACATTACTAACCTTCACCTAAAGGGCTCTTAGCTCTCTTATGTTTTTCTTAAGCCCAGTCTCCTTGGATTGTTGTTGATGATTTGTCGAATGGCTTAAGACAAAACCCATTGCCACAATAAATGCAATAGGCTGCAAAATCATAATCTAACCATCCACAATAAATGCAATGGCCTTTAAAGTCATAATACAACCATACACAATAAATACATTGGCCTTAGGGACGGAGCCAAGAAATTTAGTTAGAAGACAACTTAATGTTGAAGATTTGAGGCATTAAGAGAATCTTTTATGATATTAATTCATTTTCTTTTTATTTTTTTAAATTAATTTTCTTGTGGTGTTTTTCATTGATATATTTTTAACAAAAAATAGAAATAAATGTATTTAATATAATAAAAAAACAAAATATCATAGTGATAAGTCATGCAATGATCAATTGAAGAATGAATAAAAAAAAGGAAAAACATGTTTGTTAATCAAATCTCCAAAAATTAGAAAGAAAAATACAACAAAATTACATTATTTCAATAAACTTGCATTTAAAAAGATAAATAGTATTTTCTTAAAGTAGGAATAAGAGTGTTTTTATTTTATGAAAACAACATAATTTTAGAGTGTTTTCTTATTAATTTTTTAGAGGCCATGTTGACAAATACTAATATTATAAAAAAATTCTAATATTTCTTTTAGAAAGTGAAATCTAACTTTAATTGATTTAACACAAAAAATTATTATAAATTCAATCATGAAATGTAAAAAGGTACCTTAATACCATTAAAAAACTTTAAATTAATATATAGTATATTAGGAAAGAAAATAAAAGAATACTTGTACACAATAAAAATTCTTTATTAAAAATTTATGTGCCAAATTACAAATTTAATAAAAGTTTATAGGTTACTATCTCTGAGACTTTAATCCTTTGATTCCAGTCTTCGCGATATTTATAGAGGATTAAATGATATTGCTAAATCCATCCATCCAGGTTCTTCATTTGCATGTTTTTTGGTTCATTATGTTTATGGATGGTTAAGTCATTTCTTCCCTACACATTTTTCTATTTCTTCTAAAATTTATGGCCCAAAAATGGCCCAATATTCTGGAGAAGGTGGTGCCAAGTATTTTGACGAGGTTGAAGCTCACAATTTAATTCAAAATGGAGATAAAATAACGTGAAACTCTAATCTACATACAAGGAATCGATTAGAGATATTTATTGATAATGGCACACTTGACTTAGTGGATTTGAGCTGTCTTGTTAGCATTCGTTCAAGCTATTTGACCACTCGCTTCAATAATTTAATCGTAATTGAGCCTTATAGTCTACATCACTTTGGACAACAATTCGGTTTTTATCAAGACGTGTCCGAAACAATCAAGAATGACATTCATTCTAGATCCTTGGATGTTTTTGTTAAATTTTGGTGCATTAGTGTTACTAATCGGACCAAGCCAAAATTGATCTCTCCAGCTAGCCTTTTAAACTTTGAGGCATATATTTCTGAGAGATTTTCCCAATGATGGAGACAAGTGCATGGGACTTATCTCAAGGATGGTGTAAAAGTTTTGATCTCAAGTTGCCAAGTGGCACGAACCAAATGAAAGAATGATTCTACTAGAGATGTCAACTTTGTTTCTAAGTGAAAGGCAATTGCAGATTATCTCTTTAGTGAGGACGAATCAAGTGCGGAGTCTCTTAAAGACCAAGCTCTATCAATGGGCCCCACTTTTCATGAAAAGAGTGGTGATTCCATGTCCTCTCGTGGTGTTAACCGAGACGTTTAAGCGTGACAAGAAAAGGCAAAATCATTCTCCTCATACTCCTTTGCCACAGTCAATTCCTCCTATCATATTGGAAGGTGCTCTAGAAAAGGATGGCCAAGATGCAAAGTCTTCTACCAAAGATTCTATTATTCAAAACAAAAAGTCAGTAAAATGTGTGAAGTTAAATCTTTGAGTAAAACCTCTTCTGCCAAACCAATTGGAAGAGCTTCAGAGCCTCAAATTTCTTTACCTCCAGATGTTTCTTTGTTCTGCACAGATGACATTATTCATCAAAACCATTTACAACTTGCTTTAACTAAGTGGAGGAGTATTCATCAAAAGATTATTAAGACTCCTTTTTCTCAAGCACCTTCACTTGAAAATGAGATATGGAAGATTATTGACGCCATTAGAGAATATAAAACTCTTGGCATGACTCCTTTTTAAACTTTGGTGGAGGATTACATCTTAAAAGTTAAAAACCTCAATAACCTCAATTCAGGATTATCTTTTAATCCAGAGCTTGAAACTCACTTTGAAGAGCTTGAGGCATGTCTGGATGATTCTTCCATCCATTCAAAAGAAATTAACGCAAATATTGTATCCTTGCAAACTAAGCTAGTGAAGGTGGATGATGAACTCAAAGTTTTGAAGGACAAAAAGCATGAACTCATAACTTCTATTAAAAATAATAAGTTAAAACTAAATCATAAAACAGTTTCGTTTGCTAATGCTTGGGAAGAAATGATGGCTTTAGGAGATGCTTTTGATCAAGCAAAAACAGATTCTAAATCGTTACTGCTACTGGGAGGGATGATGGACAAAGCACGTCCCAATTTGTAGCAATTTGAATGGAACCCATAATCAAAATTTCATTCTTTGGATAGAGAATTATCGCATTCCTTTTGTGAGATTTTTTTTTTAAAGGACAAAAAAAATCTTTTAAAGTATTTGATTCTTGTCATGTTGATTGGATAAGTTTTGTCATTTCTTCTATGAGATTTCTCTTTTAATTGCTTAAAAAAATTATTTTTAATATCAATGTCGACTTATTTGATCTTCATCTATTATTGCATCTCTTAAAGAAAATATATATATTGAAAATGCACACAATGTTGACACTTAACTTGAATTGCTTAAATATGTGCATGTTGACCTTTTATTTCAAAGTAATTTTTTATATGTAACTAACAAATCCTATGGTGTCAACACTATGCCATGGATGTCAACGTGGTACTTGTCTTTGCCAAAATGGTTCGTGTCGGACTTGCTTGCTTGCCTTCTTTCTTTTTCTTCTTCTTTCTCTTTTTTTTTTTTTTGTAACAACGCGTAAATTATTGATACCATAGTATAGTTGTCGACACGTTGCTTGTATTGGTCAATCCCACTTGTCGAACTATTGTCGTTAAAGTGAATTTTTTTTTTTGAAAAATTACAGTATTGGTCCTTGTCTTTAATTGACTGCACACTTTAATTCATAAATGTTTTTGATCCCATACCTTCAACTCCTTTTAATGAAATTCTTACAAAATTATGAATGCAAACCTTTAATATTCATTTAAAAAAAAATGAAATTCTTGAAAGTTTATGCATTTAGTAAGAAGTAAGAATGAACCCATAGAAAGTAATCTTCTTTTTTTTTTTTTTTTTTTTTTTTT